GATACCAGGTTTGGTTGGTATGCAATCAGACTCAAGTGAGTCTTAGAGCTCCTGAATCGAAGAGGCATGATCCTTGGTGTGAGGAACGCCTCCCACAGTATTGTATGTTCGTCAACATTAGGACCACTCGACGTCCTTGGATGTGGCCTTGTGAACCATGCTGGGCCTACCTGCCGTCGAGCAAATGGAGCCATAGTTGAAACAAACTCTTTCCTTCGAGCAAACATCAGAACGAAGTTGGTGAAGGTTTGCTGAAACTCCAGTCCATCTTCCATAGGTGTCAACAGAGCCAGCCTGGTTCCTTCGACGCGTCTGTTCGCTATCTCTGGAGCCTGCTCATTTATCTGAACCTTCTTAGGCAAGAAAGATTCGAAAGTGGCATTGAGCCACAGTTGGAGCAGCCAAAAAGGCCCAGCAAGTAGCAAACTGGCCCTGTTCTCGATAATTTTTAGAAGAGTTGCCCCATTGCTGATCGAATCATAGAGGCTAGCCAGAATCAGTTCTGCCAAACAGATATTTTGGCGATGATGCAGTTGAGTAGCGAGAGTGACCATCTTTTTGGTCACCTGTAAAGACTTCGAGCAAAATACAAAGCGAGTCAGCCATAGGGCTAGAAACGCTATGTGTTCGACATCCGACACAGCATCTGTCGACCTGTCGTGATAGTGGTTGATGAAAGTGGTGTATGTTGGTTTGGTGTCAGAGAAGCCAATTTGATCTTCCGACATCTCCTCCGGATCGAAGTAGTCCCCGGTGGGTCGAAGGCCAGTAATAGCGGCCACATCGAAGAGTGTGGGGGTTAGCATCCCACAGGGAAGATGGAAAGTAAAGTGGGAGTAGTCCCAGAACAGCAGAGAAGCTATCAGCATCTCCGGAGAATAGTTCAAACCTGTCTTCGACAACATCACCAGGTCGAAAATCCCCATATCCTTCCAGATCGAAGTTTGGTGCTTCTCCATCTTTTCTAGCCAAGCAACGTAATCAGGAGTAAGGCTAGGGCCAGACCTGAAGGCCCTAACACCTCTGTTGAAGAAGCGGAGGTCGATTTTTTCATGTGCAGGGTCTTCATTGTCTTCTGCGTCTTTCTTGGCGCATGCAACCGGTTTGAGTTTCTCAACTACCGGGAAATAGCTCTTGATCTTCATAGCCTCAGAGATACTTGGATACATGGGGCCAGACATAGAAAAGATCTGGTTGGAGTATCCAACCGGGATCATAAGGTGGCGTGAGTAGGCATCGCGAACGGCGATGTCCAAGGGTTCAGGAACCCTTCGTTTGCCTGTAGAAGTTACTACTGGAGCAGTGACGAAAACCTTAGGTTTAGCATTTTCAGATGGTACAGTAGCGCCAGGAGCATTGGAAGCAGATGCCATTGTTAGTGTTGAGGTTGAAGACGAAGTGAAGGAGGAAATGTTTTTGCAAAGATGACAAGTTGTATGAAAACAGAGAAGTTTGAAAGCTAGATGGCGTAAAAAGTCCCACAATGGGGTACTTACTGCTATTTATAGTAGTGGGGGAAAATCCCCAAAACCGAGGACATTAAATGCCATTTAATTATGGCAGGAGCTAGTGAGACGCGTGGCAGCCCCCTGTTGTTTTAGCCGTTCTGCAGAAATAGAGGGACGCAGCGTGCGTCCTCGTTTTTGGGAATTGTCATAATGACAAATTCTGAAATGACGTTTGGTACTGCACGCCGTACTGAAAGTGACGTCCTAGGTACGGATAAATGATGGTTTTCTTGGGATTGCCAATAGTTGGTAGAAAATAACAAAAAGTGCACAAGTTAATTTGTGACTAAGCGTGAAAAGACAGGTGTCGAATGGCGTTTCAAAGAATGCCTTTTTCTTTCAGAGTCGAAATAAGGCATTCTTGGGGGGCAATTTGTTGGCTCCTAAATTCGACACCTTTGTTTTGTTGATGTCAGCCACTAAAGCTGAAGGATGTTTTCGACTGGCTAAGTCTGTCGAAATGCCCGTCGAAAGATGGCAAAGTACTTAGAAGATTTCTTCCAAGGGAGAAGTTGGTTGCCTTCGACGTCGAAGGAGTTTCTCGTCGAAGATGTCTCTCGACGAAAGTGTTCGATGGTTCAGAGTGGAGCAGTTTGAAATTCAAGCTTTTGGAGGGAAAACGGTTTCCAGCAGTTACCACGTGTAGCGTGCAAAGATCTGGAGCGTCGAACGTTGAGAACGTGCCAAGTGGAATCATCTCGAAGCAGTGTAACTGCCCGACGGTTACTTGGGATGTTTTAGTATAAATAGTAGTAGTCATGTAAGTTCTCGCGTGTGTTCACAATTCTATACAAAGTCACTCATATAGATTCGAGTACCCAGCGTGTGAGAAAGAATTGTTGAGAAATGTATGTGTGAAACACCAATTTTATTAATCAAAGTCATTTACTTTTCTAGAAATTTACTTGCTTTCCTCTTTACATTCCTGTCGAAGCCTTTTACTTTAAGCCTTGTTTATTTTACCAAGTCCTTTCTTCATGCAATTTACTTGAAACCTCTTTATTTCATTTAAAGCCTCTTTATTTAAAGCCTTATCCAATTTAATCAAAACTTCAAAATCAACCTATGTCCTAGGATCAATCTGATCGATCCTGCGAGTAACCAAATAAGTAACCATTTGGAGGATCAGCGGTTGTTTACCAAATCCCAAGGTAAACAGTAGCCAAGGGATTTCATCAGCAGCATGGTTTTGACTTCACTGAGACATTTTCACCTATTGTGAAACCTGTCACAGTGAGAGTAGTGTTAACCATTGCTATATCAAAAGGGTGGTGTCTCACTCAGCTGGATGTTAACACTGCATTCTTAAATGGAATTCTCCAAGAGGAAGTATACATGGAGAAACCCCTGGCTTTAAAACTGACGCGCCTACGATGGTTTGCAGGCTCAACAAATCTCTCTATGGGCTTAAACAGGCCCCTAGGGCCTGGTTTGATAGGTTACACCTTGCTCTAAAGGCATTTGGTTTTACTTCAAGCAGGTGCAATCCTTATTAATTTACACTCATTACTCTCACATATATTATCTAAATGCTAGTCTATGTAGATGGCATTATTGTCATTGGCAACTTTCAACCTCACATTCACCAGCTCATTCAAAAGCTCAACTCTCAATTTCCCTTGAAGCAGCTTGGCAACCTTGAGTATTTTCTGGGCATTGAAGTTATCCATCTTGCCAATAGTTCTTTGTTTCTCTCTCAAGCAAAGTATATCAAGGACCTGCTCTCCAAGGAAAATATGGATGAATCCAAAGGGATGCCTACTCCTATGATTACCAGTCTCAAACTGTCCAAACATGGGACATATGTACTTCAAGATCCTACTTTTTATAGGTCTGTTGTTGGAGCCTTGCAGTATGCCACTCTCACAAGGCCTGAGATTAGTTTTGTTGTGAATAAAGCTTGTCAATTTCTTTCCAATCCCTTGGAAAGTCATTGGACAATTGTGAAGTGAAGAGGATTCTCAGGTATTTAAAGGGAACCTTGCATCATGGACTCCTGCTGCAACCTACTTCTACTCAGGCACCTGTCTCCATTAAAGGGTTTTCTGATGCAGATTGGGGATCTGATCCTGATGACAGGAGATCTATCTCTGGGTCCTGTATTTTTCTTGGCCCAAATCTGGTCTCTTGATAGTCCAAAAAGCAAACCCTTGTTGCCAGATCCAGTACAAAAGTTGAGTATAGAGCTCTTGCTAACTCAACTTTGGAAATACTTTAGATTCAATCCCTCTTAACTGATCTTCAGGTTTCCTTTACTACTTCTGTGTTGTTTTGTGACAACTTGAGCACAATTGCCCTGTCACATAACCCTATTCTCCATGCCAAAACCAAGCATATGGAACTAGACATATTTTTCCTTAGGGAAAAAGTCTTAAGCAAGACTTTACTGGTTCAGCATGTTCCTGCATTTGACCAGTATGCGGATCTGCTCACAAAACCTCTTTCTTCCCTAAAGTTCCCGTAACTCAGGTTTAAACTTCAAGTTCATGATAAAGTGTCCCTGCTGCAAACAGGACCTTCATCTTGAGGGAAAGATATTAGAGTAATACAAATATAACATATTGGAAATTGACTAAGGGATATACTTGTAAGCAGCTAAACTGTTAAGTTTAGACTGCATAGCCTCACTATATAAACTCAATCTTATCTTAAGTTGAAATCAACATTTGTGAAATACAAAAATCAGTTGCAACTAACTTTTTCTCTTCTCTCTACTCTTTTCTGCGTTTCTATTATGGTGTATGTTTGATTTGTCTTTTAGAAGAGACAAAAATAGTTTTATATGTATCGAACTAATTCTGAAGTAATTTTCAGGTGTTTGATTTTTTAAAAGCAAAATTATTTCTATTGTATTAAAATTTATCGTTCAAATCACTTTTATATAAATATATCTAAATATATATCATATTAATTAAATTCATTTGTAACGCCACAAAACTAAATATACCTTTTTTTTAATCCTGTTATTTTTTTCCTAAACACAAACTCAAATCTTTTTGTTGTTACAATATTTTTATTAAAAAAATGGAGAAAAAGAAATAATTAATTAGCTCAGCTTTTGATCTGTCTTAAAGAAAAGCGCACGCTTTTAATTATGAAGAAGCTCCTTTTTTTTTACTGGACGAAGAAGAGAACAAGGTTGAGCACGTGTTAAGGAATTATAACTTCAGTAGCTCATTATTATGTTTGAAAATTTGTTATAAGGTAATCTTTATTCGAATAACATGGTGTCAATTAAGAGTTAGAATTAGAATAAGAGGTTTGCTATTCTTACAACAATGATACATAATTCTATATACGTATAAAAAGAAGTATTGTACAATTCTATATACGTATTTTGCAGCAGTATACATAATTTTGTGACAATAATATTCCAAGTAGTTATTATACGTGAACGTTTTTTACATTCTACCGTTATTCTCTAACTAATTGTACATACAGAATTTTCAGTCATCATAAAAAAATAACTAACTCCGTTTCATCACACGTGCGTCAGAACTCTCCAAAAGAAACACTATTCCGAAACTCAGACGACGGTGACCTTAACGGCGAAGCCGGCAACGACGGCGGAGACTTCATCTTCTCAAAGTATTCCTTTATATTCACCCCCTCTGCAAATTTCTCCGACGTGAAAAAAGTTTCATCTCTCGACGGAATAAACGGCGGCCGAACAACTTCCGTCAACATCTCCCACTTAACTCCTCTGAAAAACTCATGCTCCTTTATCTCACTAGCACCACCGACGTAACCTAATCTCTTCATCGGATCCTTTTCAAGCAACCGCTCTATAAGATCCGTTAACGCCGTTTTCCTTCCAACAAACTCCGGCGACTTGAAAAGCACGTTTCTAAACGTTTCCTTCTTGTTCTTCCCCTTGAACGGCGTTTTCCCATACATCATCTCGTAGGTTAAAACTCCAAGCGCCCAAAAATCAACCGCAAACTCATGTCCGTCACCGCGAACAACCTCCGGCGCGACATATTCCGTTGTACCGACAAATGAATTAGACCTTTCACCGTTACTGAAACTGAGCTCCCGTCGCACCACCGGACTAACTCTTGCTATCTTCCCGTTAGCCTCCGGGACTCTCCATTTCCGGAATTTGCGGCGGGATTCACGGATTCTGTTATCCTCGAGTGAAATGAGAGTTTTGATTTTAACCGTTTTGTGAGAGAGTCTACGTGAGAGATCGAAATCGGTTAACGTGACGTGGCCTGATTGTTGAATGAGTACGTTTTCCGGTTTAAGGTCACGGTAAGCGATGCCCATGGTATGGAGATGGTCGAGAGCGCAGATAATCTCTGCTATGTAGAAACGGATCACATTTGTGGAGAAGACGCGATCCGTTTGGTGGTAGCGGAGGACATTGAGATCGCCTCCTGAGCAATACGGAACAGACCAGGCTAATAACTGGCCTGTTTCGAAAGAGCCCAGGAGGGATGGGAGAAATGGATGGGCTAAATTGGATAAGACTTTGGTTTCCCAACGGGCTCGACGCTCGGCGTCGTGAGTCGAGGTTTTATCAACTACTTTGAGTGCCATGAAGGAGTTGTTTTGTTGAATTAAGAAAACGGTCCCCATTGCTCCTTTACCTAGGATTTTGAGTGCTTTGAGGTTGTTAAGGTTGAGTTCTTGAGTAGAATCCATATTCTGTCTTCAGTTGGATAGAGAGGGGAAGGTGGGTTTGTTTGAGAGACAGAGAGACAGTGAATTAGATATACATGACATGGTTGTGATTGTTCACCTTTGGCTTTTATATAGTAAGTCTTTTATCTTTTGCGTATTTTGTTTTTTCTTTCCTTTGTTTTGTTTTCCGTTTCTTACCATGTCATTATTTGCTTGTTTCATTTGCATATTACTTTCGATGGTTTAATTTTTTTAACCCTATGTAGCACTGATGTTAGAATAAACTAAAAAGAAAGAAAAGTTGACTATATAATTGTAGTTAGCTACCTAATCTCACATAAAAACGATTCTTTATAGTACAAATCGAGGCATCAATATTCCGTTAGCTAACTTGAGTACAAAGTTTCATTTGATTAGTTGTGACCTCTAACTTTTGTGTCAAAAGTAGATGTGCTATAAAAAATGTTAATAGAGATTATTACTACATGCATTAACCTTAGTAATTTTCCTAAGGTAAAAAATATATAGTATTTGTCATTATACTTATGTAGCTAATAATAATGTCAATAAGAGGCGTATAAACAATCACACGAGTAAGATACAAAAAAAGGCTTATTTAACAATAATGCCAATTTGCAAAACAAAATGACAAAATGAATTGGTCGTACGGTAATCAAAATCACATGGGGCTCTCCCCTAGAACGTGAACGTGCACTTCCTAGACTAGTAGTATAATATTAATATAACACTTGATGATGGAACTTGTTGCTATCTTTCTTGTCATTTACTAATCCATTCTTTTTTATATTGCTTTTCTTTCTTGTATTCATAAAACTGGACATTTCACTCACCCTTCATCATCATGCCACTTTAAATTCTATATACTTAAGAAATTGAATATATATTTCAATAGATTTGTTATGTTGACATCCATTTCTACATCAATACATATATATTGTATTTTTTAATAAATTAATAATATTTAAAATAATTTTTTTTTTAAAAATTATTTATTTTTAAAATTTATTTTATAACATAAATATAAAATTGTATCATTAACCAACTTCACAATTGTATTAACTATAAAAATATGTATTATTAATCAATTATTTTACTTATAATTCATTAACCACCTTCACAATTTTATTAACCAATAAAATATATATTATTAACCATATTTTGACACTAAATTATAATGTACTAACAAACTTTTACACTTCATTAACCAATTTTATACATAATATTAATAAAGTCTGAACCAAACTTTAAACTGTATTAACTTAGTTTTACACTTCATTAACCATATATATATATATTAAATTTTTTATATCATCATATATATTAACCAAACTTTAAACTGTATTAACTTAGTTTTAATATTTCATTAAACAAAGTATTATACAAAAGTACATTAAAAAGTTAAAATAATATGAAAATATTGTTCACATATTTGTGAATAGTGTATACGGTGTAGTGTCATTTATAAATGTCAATATATAATTTTTCATATTTCAATTATATGATCCACTGTGAAGTAGTTAAAATGAGCTAACCTAAATAGGTTGGTCCACTAAGTTTGAAAATTTTAGACAATTTCTCATTGCTTCCTTGTATAATGGAGCACACTTTTGAAAATCTTAAAATGCTTTTAGATGAATTTAGAGATACATCTCCGAACGCACCAAATATCATTTTTTGCATAAGTTTAGTTCGAAAATACATCTCTGAATTCATCCAAGGGTAAATTTGCAGATATATCTCCGAAATCACCTTTCATCCTTAGTAAATCAAACAACCACCCCATTTCTTAAGAAATAAGTTCGAAGATGTATGTTCGAACTATGTGTGGAGTAAATTCAGAAATACATCTCTAAATTATTGCCTGTGTGTTTTTCTTAGAACTAGTTTACTAAGACTGTGGTGTTTTCAATCCAAACTAATTTTAATTCGATTAACATTATCATTATTTGTTTCGATTAATAAAAACGAATGTTACAGAATCGAGTAGTGCGTTAACAAAACTGAATATTCTAGAAACAAATATCAGAAAGATTGTAATAGTACATCAATTATTCTCTAAGTTGATGAAAAAATAAAAAAAAAATAATCAAAAGCATAATCTATTGAGTATGCCTAATCCTAACACCCCGACTCCTCCTCTGCCTACGACAACCTAAGGCATTATATGCCTCAATAAGAATGGAACGTGTTAAGAAAACCGCTTCATCGCCACCTCTCTCAAACAGTTCATACTCGATGCCCTCTCATGTCATCCGCATAATATTCAGACAGATCGACAAGACATCAATGACATGATAATCTCTAGCCTGCCCATTCTCTAAGATCTCTTCATGAGCAAGCTTAGGTGGACGTCCAAGAGCGTCTTCTGTCATGTAAGGGTGTGACACGTTATAGAACCAAGTCATGTAACTCTCAACATAACTCCACTGAGATGTGGCTTCACGACTCTGATACTCCACGTTACCAGACGACTCTCAAAATCCACCAACATCTCATCCAACTGTCTGCGGACAATATTGATAAGAGCAGCCTAGAGGGGGGACCTCAAAATGATCTACACGTATCCAAAATGTTGCATGCACCGCTCGAGCAAATACATGCATTTGATATTAGTCCGACATGCCAATCATCCAGAGTATAAGGAAATGTGGTCAAATGGAATTCTTTCCCGGTGAGTAGTGTATGGCATCTAGATGATGTTATCACGTTGAGTTCAGTCAATATACATATAGAACGACAAGATAACATCATTCCATCTGTTAGGGATAAACCGAAAAGCAAATGGATTAATCCCCAGCATACAATTGGTCACGTTTAAACTCGTGAATACGATGATAGTGGGTAAGAACCAACTCTGAAAATGAATAAGAAAAAAATATCAGTAATAAGTGTGAAAAAAGTTGTTTGCAACTTAATAGTGGGATTTGGAAATTATTGTAAGCAGGGTGAATGAGCCTATCATTTACTTTGTCTTCCATTTACAATCTTCACTTAGATTGGAGTACAAGTAAACAAAGCATGCGACCCCCAATTCAACTCGTGAATGGACTCTAAGTCAATGAAATATTTTAGGTAAGCCATATTCACGTAGTTTGCACTTTTGTCCATAAACATGTGTTAGAACATAGTTTGGTTCTACATCCAATTATTAGTTTTGATGATAACAAATACATAATTTTTGTGAAGAACAATTATGCACTATAATCATTTGATTATATTTACAAAGAAGTTCTGATGAAAGAAAGAATGTTAATGACGTGAAAAATCACATATGAAGCTCTGAAGAAGAAGAAGAACATATAAGAAGCTCTGAAGCGAAGCTAAAACATTACGCAAGAAAGAGAAGTTTTGATGTTGATAGTCAAAATTCTGAAGCACCAAGTTGCAAGCTATATTTTGATAAGTGAAGTTCTGAAGGAACAAAGGAAGTCTCAACGTGCTCATCTATTCTGAAGTTCTAAGACTCAACACTTAAGTTCAAGATACACTAATGAGTTGTAAATCCAATATCACATTAAATGATAATCATTACAAGATCAAGATTGTAACAGCTGGAACATTATGACTGGAAATAAGAATTTTATTTTTGGAAAGGATATTAACATCAAATCATCAACCTTCCAGAAATATCGCACATGTCTCCAACGAATCTCTTGGATAAAATTCCTATATAAAGAAGACTATGAAGAAGAATCAGAGAACACAAAAACACATATACAAACAGTTGCTCAAAATTTCCCACATCTTTCTATCTGTTAAAAATAGTCTTTATGCTAAAATTTGTGTAAACATCACAGTTTTGATAAAGCTTGTTAGAAGCAACCTCAAACACTTTATATAATTACTTTTAGTTGTATTTCCTTGAGAAACCAAGTTGTGGTTTGATCTCAAGAAGGTGTTGATAGTTGTCTTCGTGAATTGTAATTATTTGTGATTAGTGGATTAAAACCTCGATTGAGAGAGGCAAAATCACCTTGGCGGGTGGACTGGAGTAGTTTTGAGTTTAAACTGAATCGAGATAACCAACGTGTTTTATAGCATTATTTTTTGTAAACCCCAATTCAAACCCCCTTTCTTATGTTTTTCTATCCTTCAATTGGCATCAGAGTGACTGGTTCTGAGTGCTAACACTTAACCGTATCTGAAAAAGATCCTAAGAAAGAAAAACACTATGTTGGAATCAAGTCAAAACAACAACAACGACAACCATGATGAGAAGGACAAAATCATCGGCAAACCGCCAATCTTTGATGGAGAAAATTTTGATTATTGGAAAGACAAAATCGAGAGTTTCTTTCTAGCTCATGACGCTGATCTTTGGGACATGGTAACTGTTGGCTACATTCATCCAGTCAATTAAAAAGGTCAGGAGATTGATAGAAAGAAGATGATAGATGAACAAAAGAAAGAGTTCAAAAACCATTACAAAGCCATAACAATCCTTTTGAGTGCCATCATATATACTGAGTATGAGAAAATCAGTAACAGAGAAACGACTCAGAACATGTTTGAATCTCTAAAAATGATGCATGAAGGCAATTCACAAGTCAAAGAAACCAAAGCTCTTGCACTTATTCAGAATTATGAAGCCTTCAAAATGGAAGAAGATGAAACTATTGAGACAATGTTCTCAAGGTTTCAAATTCTGGTTGCTTGTTAGAAAGTTCTGGACAAAGGATACTCTGTAATTGCAAGCTTCTCAAGTCTTGTTTAAAGCATTAGTTTTGATGAAGACAACATGGATATCAACATTCAAAGGATGTGCAAAAAGCTTATCAACATCATATACAAGTCTTGAAGATTAGAAGAAGAATTATTAAAGAAACAACAAATGTCAAATGGTATAAATAATTCTTAATCTTGAATATAGATGTTCACAAATATGCATTCATAATCATATAAATATCCCACATTTTTAATGTTAAGAAAAACCTTGTTTGAGATCTTTTTCAAAAAGAATTTTTGAAAATAAACTTTCAGGAACCGGCTCCTACTTAACA